CATAACCTATGGGGGCCTTAGAACGTGTGTGTACACATATTTATACATATAGATGTAAATGTAGTCATTCCTTAACTGCATTTCAGAATTAATGAAAACACAGCCATGGTTTACTTCATTATCTTGATGGATGAGTATTCATCCTTCACCACTGCAGGTTGTCTTCTCAGCTAGATTTTCATTTTTCACTGTATGACTCACTGAAGTCACCATCTCCCTGTGTGGGCAAGGAGCATCCAGATGTCATCATCAGGGGTGGGACACTGGGACATGGGGACAGTAGGACACTAGGGTAAACACAAACAAGGGGCCAGTGTGGAACCAGGTGCTCAGCTCCCTGCCATCCTCAGAATTAGATGTTTGGCAGATTGCTGCAGCAGCTCTCCAGGTGGGAACTTCAGACCATCCCAGACATTGTCGCAGGTAGTTCCTGCTGTGCATGATCCCCCCACTTACATGTGTAAATGCATTGATTTCACAACAAGTAGACTGATCAGGGATTCCCAGGCTGTTCCTGCTGCAGAAATGATCAACTGTTCACAGATCAGACACTTTTAAGTGGACAAGGGAAACTTTCTGCAGATGCAGAAATAACCTGTCAGGGTAGCCTCTCTTATTTGGGTTACATAGGAGATGTTTGCAAGTAAAGACAATAGTGGGGGATCATGCACATGCTGGGGTGGTCACACAGCACCACAGACCCCCACAGACATAGCCTGTATATATGACCACAGGGCTATAAGAACAGAGCAGAACAGCCATTTGGGGGGTTTCTCCTGACTAAGATGAAGATGTCAATGCAACAACCCTTGCAAGACAGGCTGCTGTCATCATTTGGACGGCCACCAGAGATCCTCTTTGAGCCATTGAATCCCTCCCCCTCACACCTCCCCCTCACTACCCTGTGCCAAGACCCCAGTAATTAAGGTGTTTATTTTAAACAAACTCTATCCATGAGTGTCTGGGCAAGACAGCTAATGAGCATGAGTGGCTCAGTTTTCTCCATCATCATGAAGGTATTCATGAAATGCCTGCCATAGAAGCAGCTCTTCCTCAAGTAATTCTGAACCGTGGTTTTTTTTTTTTTGTTTGTTTGTTCTTTTCAGACAGCTTAGAATGAAAACACATTTGTCTTCTTAGACACTACTCTAAAAACGCTAAAAGAATCCATTAGCAGTAACACCAGATTTGTTTTCCAAGAGAAAACATACAATCAAACTCTCTTTGTATCTCTTTCTACTCCATCCGGTTGGTGGAAATTTTCATTTAATCCCTGCCCTTTGAGGCAGGGATTCACTAAGGCTTTTTTTTTTTTTTTTTTTTTTTTTTTTTTGATTTGTAGACTGAAAACAGAGCTACACAACCTCTTTTTCTGACTCAGTACAACAGTGTATATTTTTACATCCTCCCCTGCTTGCCATATTCAGGAATGTTTATGTAATGTCCACGTGGAGCTATCTCTGTGATAATACTGAAAATACAGTGATGCAATGGAATCTGTAGGAAAAAAAATAAATATATATATATATAAATATATTTAAAAATCTGTGAAGGATGCTGTATTACCAGTATATTCCTGTAAAATACTGCTATGGTAAAAATGTCTTTAGGGGAAGTCCTTTCTTTTCTTAACTTTCTGCATAACTCATTGTAGGATGTAGTTATTATACACAATGTAATTAATCATAGCACTGAATATCTGCAACTACTTTCCTTTAAATGAAACAAATCTAAAGAGTTTTCTTTTTGCAAAATGATAACAAGCAGGCTGATATTGCAGGAAGGACAAATATTTGTCATGGTTGCTTTAAAGACATTATGCTACACCTTGATCGAGTTACTGACATACAAATAGAAAACAATATATCATGTTATTGCTTGTTGTTGTCCTAATTTTTGAATGCTTGATGCTCAGATGGAATTCCAAGCATAGGCTGGGTGATTAGAGAAAGAAGAGAAGTCATTGCTTTTCAAAGAGCTTGTCAGAAATCATCAGATCTGACAAAAGCTGTTTCAGCTCGTTAGTGGTTGCTCAGTCTTAAAAAACATAAATCTAACCAAGGTTTATTTCTTTGGAGTTATGGCTAGGGATTAAGGCCCTTATTTTATTTTGGGCAGTATTTCAGTGCAAATAGTTTCATAATATTTGTTAATAATGAATCATTGATAGTGCATTAGATTAGAAACCAGATAAAGCTGTTACCAAAATCATCAACAAGTTATTTGTATTTGGAAGGTATGGTAAAAAAGGTAGGTAAAACTGAGGAATGTTAGAATAAACTACTCTCCTGTGGGAGATTCCTAGACCTGATAAAATGTATTAATTCATGGATTACATCTTTTTGAAATTTGTCACACACAAACTGTGCCTCTTCATTTGGTTAACCTAATTTTTGCTTGATTAAGTCTTTTTCACTCACTTCTAAAAGTTCATTAATAAGATTGTGCCACAAGGCTCCATGCACTGCCCAATTTTAACGTATTTTGAGCTATTTTGAGCTCAACTACTTTTTAGGATGTAAGGGTGGAAAGTAGCTTGAATCCACAGAAAAGAGAAACAGAGAAAAGCCATGGAAAGTCCAGGCAGCCTGAGTTACCTTGGCAGAATTCATACTCTTTTAATGTTTTGTTTGTTTGTTTTGGAACCTCTTTTTCATTGTGAAAAAAAATAAGTAAGTTCAGTACATGCAATGCCATAAAAATATTCAAATGCATTTGAAATGAGTTTGTGCATGTGATGGCTTTTTCTAAAATTGTCAAGTATTGACATGTTGGTTGGACAAGGGAGATAAGCCACAGATAGGTGTTCTTGCAAATTAACTACTGCAACATAATAAACTCAGTGCCTTATCAGTGTAAAGACTTTTGCTAGACTGCTAAGTAAGTGAATAGGTAGGGCTGATACTGAATGTTAAAAGATGCTCAAATCAGGAAAACTTCAACTAGAAGAGGAAGAGCTGCTGAGTGATGTGGGGCTAAAAGCAGCTGGGAGACCCCAAGGTGGCTTTGTGATCCCCTTCACACTATGCACAGCCAGTGGAGTCTTCCCTCTCAGCCTGAATGAAGCTACACTGTGAGCCTTTTCCTGCACTGCACAGCAGGGCTCCACCACCCTAGGCACAACCCTTGGCTGTAAATTTGTGGTGGAGAGCAATGCAGAAAATGGCCCTTCTGTTCATTTCCTGCTTTTCAGTCAGCAGAGGTGGCCAGCTGGAACAGAGAACTGGCAGGTCGATTTGAAAGAAACAAGTGAGTTATATTGCCTATCCAGAGCAGGCATAGAGCACCAGGAGGGAGTTGCCATGCTTAACCTCAGCTATCATGATTAATGTTCTGCTGGAAGTGATGAACTGCAAGAAGAGCAAACCATTCCAGTGAAAATTAAATATGGGATATTTCAATGTTCCTTTTCTCCCTCTAACCATAAAAGCCATCACTGGAGAGACCCATTACACGACTTAGAGATGTTCTCTTGAGTGTCACAAGGCAATTTCTACACTTGTTAAATATTTGTTATCTTTGCTGCAAAGAGTGTTCATAACAAGTATTTGGCTTTGGCAGCTTGAATAAACCCATCCACATCACTTGCAGAAGGAATTTTTGCTATCCAGCAAACCGGGTGAGGAAGGAAGCAGCTCTTATAAGTGCTCCTGAATTGTCTACTATTTCAGTTATATGTTAAAAAATGCTCTATATAAATGCCCCTATAAATATTATATGATGTAATTGACTGTTTTTCCTATATGAGCATAAACCCCTATATATAATTTTAATAATTGCACCTGACATTAAATTATTTGCTAAACAAAATGTTTTAACCAGTTCACTACCTTCTGCACCAAGAAAGGATACATCAGACAGATAGCTTGCTGGTAGTTTTCCCTTGCACATCTGATTGTGAAAAAGCTTTTTCAGTGGACGGCAGTAAAGCTTCATTTTTGAAAATAAAGCTCCTTGGGGAAATAGAATGCTCTCAGATCTTGAAGAAGTCTCTGCTCATTCTTACATAGATTAGGAAATTGCTATTACTTTCCCAATACCTGTTCTTAGCTGTTTTTCCTTTAAATTGAGTGAATTTCCAAAAGCAATAACATGATAAATATATTTATTTTAAAAAAGGAAAATCTGTTTGATTGTCTACTCTTCCACTATTTTTTTTTTCTTCAATACATAATGTTTATTCCACTGTGAAAATTCAAGATGGTCAGTAGTCATTCTGTTTTATCTTTGCTTTTTTTAAATGCAAATCCTATCACTTGAGACTCAGGACAGGCGTGCCCTGGATGCACTTGAATCAGACTGCTATAAAGACAGATTTATATGTCAGTGTTCAATCTGTTTCCTATACACTCCTTCAATACCATTTAGCTATTCCAGAAATCTGCACTTCAATCATCACTATTCTGCTGAAATACCATCTAGTTTACAAATTTAACTTGGGAAGACTTCATACTATGTTTGGGTTCTTTAACCAATAGTTGCTTATAGGTAGCTACTGAAAATCAGCACAAGGACAGGGTTATCTAAGAATCAAAAATCTGTCATATGTACATAGCTTTATGTGTTTTTGTTTTAGATGTTGAGACAAATTTTGGTGACAGTTTAACTAACCTGTTTGTTTTATTAAAACTAAGCCATGTTATCTCGGTAAAAATCTATCTGTTTTGCATCTGTTAGCTTGCAATAAAAACATATTAACATACAGAAAAATGGAGCACAGAGAAAAAAACAACATACCTTTTCATTGCAAGCAGTTCATAATTTGACTGAATGATGTCTTTCAGAATATAAAAAAAAAAGCAAAGCTGTAAAAGCAAATGTTGTCTGTGTCTCAATAAGCAGACTTTGAGAGAGTTCAGCTCAGTATCAACTGACCCAAGTTTTGAGTGCACTGCAACTGCTAAACAGATCCACTTGTTCTCTTGTTGTTGCAAAGCATGATGACAGATCCAGCTGAGAGCAATCCCATTAAAGTCTTCATTAGTGTGAGGTTGGCCAGGCTGGTTACTGCATGATCCTCTTGAAACCGTTCAGAGGTAAGCCAAGACCATCTTATAAAGACCATCTTATAGAAGAAATGTACCGAGCACTCAGAGACTGAAAGATGGGCTTTTGAAGAGTATGGAAACCAGCAAGTGGGCATAAAAAACTTCCAGAATTGTTATTGGAGCAAAATATATAGTCACTGACAAAGTGTGTACATGAAGACAGATAGAAGTTGCTGCTTGCAACATGAGGCATCAGGTGACTGATAAGAGGGGCAGCAGCAGAATTATTCTGAGAACACTCTGACAAAGATAAGTGAAGGAATTCAAATTTATTCTTTGGAATCTGACAATCAGTTAAGATTCAATTAACTGCCTTCAGCACAGGCAACCCAGGTTTATGAGCATAAAAACCATCAATCCAATTCATGCCATGGAGAAGAGTCCTTCTGACTTAGATTTGTGTTTACTTGACTGCAAATGAGGGGCTGCCCGTTGATTACAAACTGTGCACTTGATGTACCTAAACAGGTAGCCAGTTTCACATGTGCTTCAATTAAACAATGCATTTTTGGTGGTACAGGATCAGTGAAGAGCACCCTTGAGTCTTAAAATCTTCTTTTCTTTCTCTTAATTTATTGTTCCTGTTAATCGGAGAGCATGGAATCAAACCAATGACCCTTTTAAAAATGAGCTAATGTTGTTTCTTTCTAGTGGCACGTTGCCACCAGATATCAGAGTTACAACAAAGTACAGCATGGCTTTCAGGAATCCTTGGTCTTAAAAGCCTCTGGAATACAGGTCACTGCGCCTTCAGTGTGCTCCTGGTGCTGCTTTCATATTAACATCTCCTGAGTACTTAATTTGCTTCATTTGGGCTGTCCACCATGCCATCTTTAAGCTATTGTTCATCTTCCTTGTGATCCCATTTTGAACCTGGCATTACCCATCTCCATCATAGCTGCACTCTCCAGTTGTGACAAGCTGTTTTTACTTCTGAGACCTTGCTGACAGTGGATGTTATTTTGTGTGAAGCTATGGGGCACTATGTTCTGATTCACTAATCATGCCATCCATGTGCACTACTTTTGGTTATTCTTTCTTTCTTTGGTTGTTTCTTCGGTTGTTTCTTTGTTTCCTATATTTAGAGACTATACTACTAAAAATAGGCAAAGGAAACTAGCATGTTAGGATATATTTTGTTTTGGAAAATGTAAAGTAACACAAATGTAGCTATCCAGAAGTGAAAGCAGTTAGCACATCTCAGCTAAAAAACCAGGTGCCTTGCATGACCCCATTGTCTGTAAACGTGGGGCTGAAATGAGCACAAGACATACTCCTCAGTGGGCTTATCCTGGCAGAAAGAAATGATTTAATTTTCATACTGGATACTTAATTACATACTGGATTTTACTTAATTTACATACTGGATTTTTACTCAATACTGGATTTCTACTTAATTTACATACTGGATGTGAGAGATTAAATTATTGACTTCGTAACTCAATGATATGACGAGTTCCTGCTTTTCTATCATTTCCTGTGTCTCACTTACTCCAACTTCATTTTCAACTCCTTTTGAAATATAAAGTGAAATCTGCTGCCTTCTATTATTTTACCTCAATCCTAGATCCCCAATGCTGGTATACAACTTTGCGGATGCAAATACTGCTGTCAACTGTTGTTCTCAAGTCCTGCACTTTGGTCACAACAATTCCATACAGTGCTACAGGCTTGGGACAGAGTGACTGGAAAGCTGTGCAGAGGAAAAGGATCTGGTGGTGTTGGTTGATGCTCACCTGAACATGAGCTGGCCACCTGAGCACATTGCTCAGGTGGCCAAGAAGGCCAACAGCATCCTGGCTTGTATAAGAAACAGTGTGGCCAGCAGGACCAGGGAGGTGGTCATCCCCCTGTACTCTGCTCTGGTGAGGCTGCACCTTGAGTACTGTGTTCAGTTTTTGGCCCCTCGGTATGAGAAGGACATCAAGGCCCTAGAACATGTCTAGAGAAGTGCTATGAAGCTGGTGAAGGGCCTGGAGCACAAGTCCTGTGAGAAGTGGCTGAGGGAAGTGGGGTTGTTTAGTCTGGAGAAGAGGAGGCTCAGAAGAGACCTTATTGGTCAGGGAGGTTTAGGTTGGAAATTAGGAGGCATTTATTCTCAGAAAGAGTAGTCAGGCATTGGGATGGGTTGCCCAGGGAGGTGATGGCATCACTGTCCCTAGGGATGTTCATGGAAAGGTTGGATGTGGTGCTTAGGTACATGGTTTAGTGGGTAACACAGGTGGTAGGGGGGTGGTCAGACCAGATGATCTTGGAGGTCTTTTCAAAACTTAATGATTCTATGATGCTATGGAAATCACAGTAAAGACAAGAAGCCAGAGGACTTTGCAGCAGATGCAGTGAATTTTTAGGGCTATGTTATCACTGTCATGCATCAGCTTGCTCTTGAAGAAAAGTCCTAAATCTATGTAATCTCATTTGCGTGACTAACACCTGTAAAATCAGGGAAATGCTTCTGTGTTCATAAAAAAGAATACATATCCAGAAAAATATGGAAGACAAACATAGAAGTATTACCAAACTGAATGCCTGTGGAGAAAGGTTTTTCATAAGATTTCTTTAATGAATGCTCAAGCCTTTTGAAGTAGATGACTTTCATTTTGCAAAGCCATTGATAACATTTTACTGGCTAATTTCTTAGCTTGCAAGGGTGCGCTTTCAATGGAAAATAGCAGATGACCATTTGGTCAGTCTGCAGAAATCCATCAAAAGCTTGTAAAAATTTTCCAGTTTCTGTAGATTAATGGACTCAAATATGTTGTTTACAGAGAAGTAAAAAGTAGGCTCACATGCCAGGGCAAAAGGGCCAAGAAACAAACATACAAATTAAAGTTAAAGCATGGCATCTGAATGATGTACTACAGTTCTGCTTGGGTATCACTTCATTATTATGCATTCATTATTTTATGACTGACATAAGTATAAACATTATCTTGGTTTCATAATTTATAATGCATAAATTAGAAAAGAATCAATGCAGAAAGCATGAAAAAAATGCAGTTTGGAAATGAAACACTTTTACAGCCATGTGCTGTGTTCCATCTTTTGCTCTAAAACCCAATTACAGTTGATATTAAATAGTGTTAAAGAATCAAATTACAGTGTGTAGTCCAAACTTTGACAAACACCTCAAAATAATAAATTTCTTGGGTAACACAGATTGCTTTTTTCTTTAAATCCTCATCTGTGTATTCTTGCTTAAGAAAAAGAAGAAAAGGGGGATTTCTCTTCCAAATTTTCTTCCTCTTCACCTGTCTCCTTCAACATTTTATGCACTATTTTGTTATAAATGGCCTATAAACTGTAATTCCAAAGAAGCTTCCTAACTTGAGAATAGTAATCACATTATTATTTCAAATAAACATCGTAATTTTTCTAATGCTACTACTTCCAGAAAATTATATTTGGAGCATATTATAATATGATTCTAAGATTCAAATTGAAATCTTTCATTTATGAAATATCTGTAAACATTTACATCAGAAAAGGAAAGTAGAGAGTCAATTCACTTCTAATACAGTCTTGTGGAAGTACTAAGTCTTGAGAGCCTTAAATGACTTATATCCATACAGAGGCATCAAGAAACAACTACAAATGAGACACAAGCACTGACAAAGGTGAAGCAAGTTTTCAAAACTTGCTGCAACAAAACAGGTTAACAGGTTGCAACAAAACAGGTTAACAATGCTGTTTCGGGAGGGCTCTCTCTGCATCAGAGGACTCGCAATGGAACTGGAAACTTGCAGATGTTTTAAAGCTTATCTGAAGTATTGCATACAGCTGATCTATTTCCAAAGCAGAGTTACTGGCTCCTGAAAGTCATTAATTCATATTATTTCAGTGCAGTTGAATATCTATATGGGCTTCATAAGTTACACAATATTTTATTATATTTTGCAATATACTTAGAAAGCACATCAATGGACTGGAGAAAAGGAAAAAAAAAAGACAAAAAAAGGTATTTTTCTAGGGAGTGTATTCACTCTTAAACTGAGCACTCTGCACATATTTATCCTAACAGACAGCAGAAAGGCTTGGCCAATAAACTAGCATAAAAACGAGACAATGTTGTCCCACTTGCTGTCCTGCTCATAGCCACAGCAGTGTCTAATCCCACAGGGTGAGCTGCAAGATAGCAGCAGAAGAAAACAATATGGCCCTAGTGGGGGAACAACCAAGTTAATGTCTGGTGCAGCAAAAATAAAGGCGTGAGAAGTGCACGAATAAGAATGATGAGAGTGAATCACACATTTGTTTATTCTTTGTACCAGTAATTGTATGGAACCCTGACTACAACTAATCCACATAGTTTTGAAAATTAGATTAATTTCAATAGTCTTCTGACTGTTTAGCTGTCTCTTCTTACATGGTTATTCTTCTGGTGTAGCTGTACTGCAAAAAAGCACTTCAAATCCTCTCCCTTTTCAGTCATGTTTTCATCTCCTGTTTCATTACAGCAACAGCAAAACACTGCTCTTGTGTTAATGAAGTCTCTCAGTAAAATCTTCCCATGGTCTTGTTATCATGGCAAAGGGAATCTGATTCATGGTATAAGTAAATGAAATAAATCTCATAAACCCAAACACCATTTCTGTTGTACAGACATTTAGATTTTTGTTCTTGCCTTTATAAGGAAAGCCACTCGATGACCTTCTTTCTCTGACAATTAGAAACCATATTCTAAACTCCACCCTAAGCTTTTTAATAGCCAGTGTATACCCATTTGTTCTTTTGCCAATATTGTTCTTTGGTTTGAATCATTCTCCTGCGCTCCCTCCCTGTTAGAGCAGGAGACTAATTAATACTTTGAGAAAAGGTGCAGAGAATGTGCAGAGAATAACAAATCATTTCATGCTTCCAGTCATTTGAGCTTCCCTGGTTTGCCTTTTAATTTTCTCTTCAGACTTGATATGTGCTGGAGTCCTCCATTTAGTAGTATGCTGGTATCTTCCCCTTTATCCTGCACCAACATCCTCCTGGGGCCTCTTCTATCTGTCTAGAAGTGTGATGTGACTAGAGCTTGAAATGTAGATGGAAAGGTTGGACGGTAGTTGAGCTATGACTGCCTCAAAAGGTGTGTGAGGACTTGTAATGCAGTGTTGGCAGTGGTCTCATTTCAAAATGGGGGCACAGAAGGAGTAGTGTTTGCCATCAGAGTTGTTCCTCCCTTTCCAGCCTTTATAAAATGTCTCAGTGCTGTCTGTGCCCATCCAGAGTCTTGAGTCTCACACTTGGCAGCCTTTGGGATGTACAAAGTCAGCCTTCCCTGGACTTTCACTGACGGAAATCTCCCTGGTTCCTGGAACGAGTGTGTGGGTGGTAGGCTTAATTACCTCTTGTTAACAGCTGTGGTGCTTGACAGGACAGGCAGTCTGTCTTCCAGAGGGCAGTTGATGGTGCTCCGTCTGCAGTAAATCTGAAGCTGACGTAATTTGTGTTGATACAGGAGGTCCCCTCTGTGCATCTTTACAACAAATGCAGTCACACACCTGCATCGTTCCCATGGAACAATACAGTTCCAACTTCATGGGCACATCACCCTTGATCATCTCCACAGAGCCATCTTCCACCATAGGGGTTTACTGGTTGGTCACAGAGGGAAAAAAGGGAAGGTGAAAAGCTTCCAAAAACCTGAGTAAAACTCTCCCCTCTTTATACATATTTGAAACAAGACACAAACTCTACGCAGCACAGCACACTGATGGACATTTACATGACAGCTTTATCAATTTATCTTCAGCAGGATTTGTGTATTTTGCCTAGTGGTAATACATTAAGAATTCAGGGAATTGTGGTGATTCTTGATCTGAAAACACTGAGTGAAAGCTACATGGGGAAAAATAAATCAGTATATTTCTCTTCTGATATGAGTCATTTAAAGTCTGTTAAAGTCTTCACTTTTGTGTTATTGTCAGTTAGTCACATTATGGAGTTCCCTATTTAATCTGTATTGAAAGTAATAGTACTTAAGAACCAGTTGAATCACAAGTGAATTTATACTCGTGATTATATAGACCATAAAGACAGAAAATGGTTTGAGATGTTAAAACAAACAAACAACAAAAACTGAAATGGGTTGTTATGTATAACTCAACGTGGAATTTAGTTTGCACACAGACAACAATAAGGCTGCATATTTAGCTCCAAGCTACAGCATAATGGTGAACAGGTCAGTGCTGACATCCATCAAGCTCTCTGAATTCAGTCTTTAATGAGTGAATACAAGGAATAAACAGAGGAGTGAGATCAGAGGCTAAAAAGATTTCAGCAGCATCTGTGACCTGTTCAGCTAGTCTGTTACTGTACTAAAAGCACCTGTGTAGCTTTGTTCTTTCTAGAGAAGAAGCTGTTATTAATATAAAAAGGAGCCTCAAACCCTTCCTGCATAAATGTAGTTTACCAAGAGACATTTGTACATCTTCATGATGATAGGTTGAGTAAATACAGATCAGTACATATGAATAGTGGAAAGAAAAGTATACAGAAGAATTATGAACATGCTGGAAAAATTTTGATGGGTTTGAGACACATCTTGAATGATGTGGAGAAGGGAACTGGACAATATGAAAAAAAAAGTAAATAACCAAAAGAGGACATATGAACATGTGGATGATTGAATTTTGTCATGGGTGACATCAGCACAGGGAAAGATTGTTCATATTACATGCACATCCCAGAAGGGTTTTCCTCACCAATTTGCATATTACCTGCATCACCATGTAGCCTGTATTGCCTTACCCCAAGCTGCAGTTTCTCAACAACCTTCTTGTGCATGTATTTATGAACCCTTTTCCAAAAGCATTGAACAATGCCCTATCTACGTTTACAAGGTATGCTTGTTTTCAGCAAAATAACCTATAATTTGATATATTTTCATGGTTATTTCAAGTACTTAACTGAGAAGACTGAGTACAAAAGAGAAAGTAGTTAAATACAATGCAGGAAAACATTTTTTTTTTTTTTTTCTCCCCATAAACCAGGGCAGAGGAAAATGAGTCAGAGAAAGGACCTAATTCAATGCAGTTTTATATAGTGGGAAGTTGCCTTGGTGTCAATCAAATTTTACAGGATATTGGTAAGTTCAGTGTGAGCATTTCCCAAAAACTGTAGAAATTAATTTTAAAAAGGCAAAAATGCGATGAGGAGGCACAAGACCCTATTTATTCACTGAATCAAGTATGCATACAGGTGCTCCTGGATAAGCCTTACACAGATGAATTTTAATAGTGATTGGCCATTCATGAACATATAACAACACTGATTTTTAAGAGAAGAAACATTTGTTAAAAGAGTAACAGATCTACCGAGGTAGATAATATTTGCTGACATTTAGTCAATTTGTGGAGAGGTGGGAAACTACAAAAATGTCAGTTCTTTCCTGCACTTTCCTGAAAAAGGATAAAAAAGAAAGATCTTTCTTTATTTTAAAACTGTATTGTCAGCTTGCACTTTCAGAGTCATGCCATATATCAAACATGGTTGAAAATTCAATCTATAATTTGGAAACTGTGTGGCGGTGGGAGAAGGACAAAAATAAACTGTTTATTTTCACTTTGTCAGGGAATCTGACTAACGCATAGATTGCCAATGGAAGAATTTAAAACCTGGAATATCCTTCTTCACTCCAAGCAATTTTTTTATTTTTAATTTTTTTTATTTTCTCTTTTTTTTCATTGTAGGTAGCATGTTACAATTTAATCTTCCTCGAATTGGGCTAATGTTAAAGAGTGTGGCTTCTCACCCATGAAGAAGTGAGGAGCTTGGAAGAAGTGAACTCTGCAGTAGAGCAAGGCAGAGCAGAAGTACACAAGGTGTGTCACTGTCTCACCAAAGGTACACTTACAATCAGGCTGGTTATTTTACCCATCACAGGGAGAGATGATGAGGACAAATCAGTGTGGCTCTAAGCATCTCTTTGTTTAGGCTGCTCTAATTGCGTTCAATTTGGTTTCCTATTTCAGACAAATTTAATTTTCAAATTAGGGTAGCATTAGTATGCCTGTCATCCAATTGGTCTCCTTTACATTGTTTTCCATTTGTCCATGTATTCTTGGGAGAAAAGATTATTTCGAAAAATCCAGCAGAAACTGCTTTTCCCCATTCACCTTTTCTCTCAGACTGTAAATTTTTGTGATTCTTATCTGTCTCTTCTGTTACAATGGCAATCAAATTACATCCCCTGCTTCCCAACAATTATGCCAGGTTAAAGAAAACCTACATAACTTTGCCCTGGAGTTATTTCTGGAGAAAGATCAAAATGTAAAGGTCTTCATATCAGTGTCTGGCATCTCAGTGCTCATGAAGAGGAAAAGCCTGAAGGGAATGGAGAATGGCTGTGGAGGAGCTTAAGACTAAGGTCCATATCTGAATTTAAAGACGTGCACATCCTTCAGGGAAGTAATCCTCCCTGCAACACGTGTGTCTGGTGTAGAGTCTCACAAGAAAAAATGTCTTTCAGACTCCTTAAAACAGAAAAGTACTAGAACCTTTATTGACTGCTTCAGGAAGGGGCTTAATAAGACTCATTTGTTGGAAATAGTCCATGCATGCCATTTAGTCCTAACTGTATTCATCTATTTTCATCTATATTAATTTATTCATCTTGTCATATCTTCAAAATATTACAGAGAAATTTTCTAGCTCATGATGATGTATGCTGCTATTTCGATGTTTCTGTAGTGAGTAGGATAGGGGAATATGTAATTTTCTAAAGCCGTGAACAAATAAAATGCTTTAATTGACTCTCAGTTGCTTAAAACTAAGCAAAATGACTTTTAAAAATATTTTAGTCATTTGAGGTTTAGTCACCTGAACACTAGTTACTTACATACTCCCAGATCAAAACTGATTATATACTAAATGACATAATGATTGCATTTGTTCTGCAAGAAGTCCTGAAAGGTTATTTTTGAATTTTTTTTTTCTTCATAGGTAAAAAAAAGTTATCATGGGAAACAAAATCAAACTTTTCCTTTATTTATTTATTTATTTTATTTTAAGATCATTTACACCAACTCATAGTGTACACATTTACACCAACATGTACATTTACACCAACTTATAATATTAAACTCAGGGAAATTACATGGACCTGGGGTAAAAATGAAATCTAATATGCTATCTTATAGAAAAACAGTGGCAAGTAAATAATGAAGTGACGGTTTTTGGTGAAAGATAGCTCTACTAATTAGAAAATAAAAATGTTAATTTAGACTGTCTAACTATCTTACAAATGCAAACTGCAATACTGGGCTAATGCACAGGCTTTTATTAACTGTTGTTATTGAATTCTGTTTCTTTTCACTAGGATGCTGCAGGGTTTATTTATTATGTTCCTCAAAGAATGAAAGAGCTCTTCCCTTGTGGAAGGACCAGTTTAATGGAGGGAGGGGATCCCACTGGAGCTGCATCCCCTCTTTCTCTCACTTGTTTTCCCCAGGGCCACCTGGGGCAGTGAGACCGGCCCCAATTTGCCACCTTCTCATGATCCCCCTTCCCTGTGCAGACTGCAGGCAGATGCAGATCTTCCAGAAGGAGCATTCAAGACAGGTGAAAGGAAATGAAATTCATCCTTCTTTGGAGACCTGTCCTGATGAAGTGCTCAGGAAGAGCTGTAAAACTGAAGACTGAAATCTTCCAAGTAAGATTTTCTTTAGAGGGCAGAACCAATGTGGTGGGTTAAAAGTTGCTAGGGAAGGAAAGCCGTGATGTCATTTACACAGTACGTATCAGCTATGGGCTAGGGAATCTTGCCATGTATAAACATTAGAAAAGAATGAAAACCATTAAACATTTACAGCAACCAATTCACAAATGTTGAGATTTCTGAATCTCCAATGAGCTAAAGAAATACCCTAATTTGAAACCACAGCTTTCACCACCATCATTGAAAGCTTAGATCTGCAGCCACATTTTCGAAACAGTTATTAATGAACTGGAGCATATCATCAGCATTAAATCTGGCAATGCAGAAGTGTGTAGACAAATGACTTCAGATAAAATGAATGTCAATCACTGTTTTGAGTAATTTCTATGTAACTGGAATGAATATGGTCCCTATATATATACCTCTTCCAAGCACATACACATGTGAAACCCAAATGATTTTTCCATTCTTTCCAGTGCAATTTTCAGCCTAAGGGACTTAGGAGTATTTCATTAATTGCTTCTAAGAAATTAGTATCTAATAAAGACCATCTGGGAACTAGTAGCTAAAGAAAACCACAGAAAATATATTTTCACTGAAAAAGAAATTTCCTGTGAAAAATTCTGTATTTCACGCAAAGCAAAGCGTTTTGACCAGCTTGATCTGAAGTTGAACATTTTGTTGGAAAGTTTTTTTGTCTGGGGTTTTTATTTTGCCTGTAATTTAAAAAACTCTTCTCAATATTTTTGGTTGTACATCTCTCGTCTAAAGTACTGTTGATAATTAAGAGGCTGTAACCCATCGTTTTTCAAGTGGTGAGGACTTTGTCCTCAGGCACCTCCTGATGGAGACGTGCAATGCACCATTGCAGTCTCCTGATGACCATGGATCGCGGGATGGGTGCGTTAATTAGGGAGCTCAGTCTACAGGAAGGACTGAAGAAATAAAGCACCTGAACTCTAATTCCTGTGTTCTTACATAAATTTTTGCAGAGATACAAGGTGTACTACAACATATGAGAGCAGATCTTAAAACTGGTGACTCAATGCTTTGTAAAAAGTATTTATTAGATTTATTTAATGTGAAGTTGCCAATATGCTGAAATTTCTGTCACATGGAAAAACATTACATCTGCTCTCAATTCCAGACCCTTGACAATCTCAACCAATGTACCCCGTGCTGTGCATGTCCACCTGCCTCCTTTAGTCTTTAGAACATGCTGAAGTTTCCTTCCTTTCCTGAAGTCCAGGGTCTGCCCTCTGCTGCTCACCCCTGAATCTTGACCAGGGTCAAGAGCTTCATGGTCACTTCAGCCAGGACTGTCTTTGGCTACTGCGTGCTTTGGCAGTTCCTCCCTGTTGCTGACCAGCTCTTGTCTACCCCAGGTTGACCCCACCAGGACCTGTCCCACAAATCTGTCCCTAATGCCCACTAGAAATCTCCCTGACAGCTTGTGCCTCACTGCATTTTCCTCACGACTGATGTCAGGGAGGTTGAAGACCCCCAGGAGACAAAGATAAACAGCCAAAGACTTCCTCACATTGTCTTCCTTCTTCCCCCCCTAGCAGTGCAATCAGTCAGTAACAGACCCAGGGTGTCACCCATTCACCTTCCCTCCTCTCTGGTCCCAAGCCACTTGATCTCACCTGCCCGCCTCCCATCCTGCAGGGACATCCCCAGGTCCCAGCAGTTCCTGCAGGCAATAAGCCACCCCTCCTTGTCTTCCCTGCCAGCCTCTGCTGCAGGGCTTGTACCTATCCCTCAGGGCATGCAGGCTGTCCTGCCACATCCTGGCTATTCCAACAATGCCATATGCTACTTGTATGTCTACTTATATCACATTTCCTCCTGTTATGTTTCTGCCTCAGCCTGATACCACTAGAACACTTTCAGAAGTGGCTGTCATGAAGCACCACGTTTGTGTGTTGGGAACAGTAATGACTTTGCTTCCATGCTTTTTTTTTTTGCAGATGGATGCTGTTCCCTTAAAAGGCCTTTGAAGGCTGTGGAACGCTGCCCATCCTCATAACTCATCACAGTTCATACAGGATAACGTCCTGGGTTTGACAGAGCACATAGCTTTCCCTCCATCTGATCTATCATAAGCCACACAGCTGTCCAGGATATAGGAGTTCCAAATTTAATTTTAATCTGACAAGAGGATTTGGGATCTTAGCAGAGCTATGCTTTACAGGGTTCATCAATTCAGAAATGATTACGAGGTATTTCTGATGGGAAGGAACAAGGATCAATCAGCCCTTTCTAAATAGTTATCTCCCCAGGCTGAATTACTCTTAGAAGAACTACTTATAATTATAAAAACAGACACTTTTAAAGTGCTTTTGTTGCAAGTTCAGTGCATAGATAATGAAAGTGAAGCAGAGACATTGAATGTCAGATCTCTTCTGTAAATATGGGACCATGCTACTCTTTTTTATTTTTTTTATTTTATTTTATTTTATTTTATTTTATTTTATTTTATTTTATTTTATTTTATTTTATTTTATTTTATTTTATTTTATTATTTATTTTATTTTATTTTATTTTATTTTATTTTATTTTTTTTACTGGATGGCCTGATTCACCTAGTGAATTTACACAGGACAAATCTGAATGGGAGGCTTGTGATGGAAATGAATGAACCATTTATTTTTGGAAATACAAAGCAAGAATGGAAGAAAACAGTGTAAAGCTGCAAGCGCTCTTCTAATACCACTTCCCCTCCCAGAAGAGACTCTTCCTTGAACTCAAGTACAAGTGTCTTTTAGTAAAAATTGGGGCATATTGTCATACAAAATACTTGAAACTTCAACCCACAACAGTCTTGTTTTGTCTTCCTGCAATAACCCTTGCCTAATTTTTTTCTTGGAAGCTGGCATGCACTGCTCTCTGCTCCCATGCTCCCATGAATTCCTGAGGAAGATACAGACTTTTCTCTAATTAGGCTATACTTGGGTGGACAGTGGAGAGGTAACCTATGAGCACTGCTGTTCTGTGGCTGGAAATGGCAGTCATAGAGTCAGAAAGGTATTTCTGTAAGAAAAGACCTTTGGAGATCTTGTAACAAAACTTTCTAGTGACAGTCAGGCCATCAGAAAGAGGCTTTTGCCCACAGTGGAACTCTCTCAGCTTCTGTAGCAACCTACCCACCTTGGCCATGCCCTAGGGACCAAATGTGCCCTCTCTGCCTTGTTGCAGTGTTCCCTAATGCCATCTGTGTCGCCATGTGCTGTGTCTCCATGGAGTGCTTGGTCCTCTCATCCCTCTCTTTGTCCATGCAGCAGCTGCTGAATGCCCCAAGTGCCCAACCTCTGCCCCTGGCCTCACAATACCTTGTCTCTGAGCCTCCCACCAGACACCTTGGCCACTGGCACTGAGGCCTTGTCGGGGATCTCCCCTCCTGCCTGTTGTCTGTCGGGCTGGAGAACTCCCAAGGTGGATGTGGGACAGAAGCGGTTGGAGATGTGTTGAGACCACGGAAGGAACCCCTCCTTGAGTGCACTGCGCTTCTGGTCTGCAGCTCTGCTGGTATGTGCTTGGCCACCCTTGCTGCAAGGGTTCAACCAGAGTCTCAGTCCCATCCTGTTCCAGAGCCTCTCCAGCACCACTGCCTTCCCATCCCTGGCCATTCATCCACAAGTGCTGCTTGTGGCCAGGCCCAGAAGCAGCATTGCCCTTGTCCAAACAGTAGATTTTGGCTTCATTTCCTCTGTCTATTTCCATTGTATCTATTGCTGAAAATAATAACTTACTGATACTAATAAAAATAGTAATTATACCATTAATATTATTATAATATTAATAGTAACATAACAATTATTTATAAAAATAAAATATTCTAAAGGAACAAGGCTGAAAGTGTGGATTTGTCTCTTTTTGATATGGTTAACAGGATAAAAAAAAATGTGTCAGTCATAATTTGCTCTAATCATGGATAGTAAGCAATAGTACTTTCATATATATTCAGGGCCATAGATGTTTGATAGACTGCTATCAGGCATTACTGATGCCTCAGAAGAAAAAGCAGAATCAAATCTTTTCACAAAGCTTACCTTTTTCTGCTACTCTTCCCTTTACTAGTCAAAATATGGTTTGTTTGTAAAGATCTAATTCCTTAAAAATCATTCATGCAAAGAAACAAAGCCAAGCAGATGTTGAGATTAGTGAAGAAAAAATGTTTTGATATGAACTGTTTCTTATAACAAAGAGCATATTGTAAGACACATACCTCAGGAATACAGAAAAAAAAAAAAAAAGGAAAAAAAAATCACCACCAAAAAAAACACTTCTCCACCAAAACCAGAAAAACTCTAGCTCTCTGATTTCAAATCTGTGTCAGAGTCCCAGTAACAGTCCATTCTATACATATATAGATATGTAGATACCCTCTGCACTCAGTTATCCCCGTTACTATAGAGGCCAAGCCTCTGCAGACCTTGATTGGCTGCAGTTGTTACAACACCTCCTTTGAAACCACTGTCTGGGGTAAACTTTACTACTTACCAATGTACTACATAAAATGCTGACTTTTAGAGAGCCTAAAATAAAATTTTCTGTCCAGAGTTTCTGTGGTCTCTTCTGTGTAAACACAGGAAACAGGATGAATGGCCCTTAAATTTGAGTTCCTTTCTGCAATTTAATAGTTTGAGGTATAGCAACTGTCCATGTATGTAATCTAATTGCATAAAATAGCCAAGAATTATGAAAGATCTAGCCTATAGATGTGAAAACTGGTGTAAACCAGTTTGTTTTTTTTTTTTTTTGGTAGATGAGGATGGCTTGGCTATACTAAGGGTATACATAGAATCGTATTTTAATTTTTCCCTATATTTAGTAGGAATAATCACAAGATATTTCCCTGTTTACAGTCCCCTGGATCAAATGTATTTAATCTTTAGATATTTTTGATTCATTTAGGAACTATTTACAGGTTTTTTCTGAAATTTGCTTTAATCAAAATGAGTTTTCCTTTTAAATTAAGAAATCTTGAATCAAGTCTCAGCTCCTGAACTCTGGGAACACTGGCTGAATAATTTTAATGAGAAGTTTACACAGTTAGAAATCATTTTGGTCAGAAACAGACTAATAACAGAAGCAGATATGGGAATTGAATGAATAAATATATTTCAATGTTTCCTTTCTAATGGACTTATTCCATGCATTTTACTCACCTAGTACCAAACCACTGCCCAGCTTCTCTGATGTAATAGAAAAAACACCCTGAAAGGAAGAAAAAAGTAAGAAATAACAATGACAATAATAACAACAACAAAACAGAAAGCAAAAGACAAACAACAACAACAACACAAAACTATCATTATTGCCTTAAGTTTCAGTTTCATCAATCCAATGGCATTAATCAAGCTACAACTGTGGTTCACAGCATTAGCAGGGCATTCAATGAAAGTCATTTTAGTCAAGATTTGGCCAGATACTTAATAGACATTAGAAGTAATGGACCATTAATTCATTAATTAGAGAGAGAAGGTCAAAAAGAAGTCACGAATCCACATGTTATTTCAAGTTACTCCAGGAATGACAAGAGTATTCAAAATACAGCCAAGGAAATAATTTGGGGCAAATAATTTCATTTGTTGGCTCAGACCATTGTCCCTCAAATCTGGTCGGATTCCTAATAAATTCCTCTTAATCACACACCTCATCTCACCAAAATTACATATGTTGTTTGCTTGCTGCAGGAGTCCAGACACCACAGACTGTGTTACCTGGACAAGCCCTGGTTTGTGTCGGAACTTCTTGTGCACAGTCCATGTCAGAACATGCACAGTCACAGTAACACATACTATCCTTATAGACAGTGTGCACTCCAGCCCCCTGCACACACACATGCACACACACACGTGCTATAAATCATTTGGAAATATGGGACTTGAAAAACAGCCAGATAAAAAATCTTTTTTTAATAGACTTTCCTGGAACCAGAGACGAGTCAGATCTTGTAT